GTTTCTTGTCTCCTGGTCAGGACGGCGAAGCTGACCACGGTGGCTATGCCGGCGAGCTGGGCTTCCGCGTGAGTACAGGCCACAGTGTCTCCGTCTGGGAAATGGAGAGTCAGAGGTTTTTCCCAAGGTTTCGCTGCGCTGCTGTCCTGCCTCGGCTCCCAGTTAGCTAGGATTTCAGGTGCACTCGCCCACACCCAGCATGTTCTTGTTGGCGCAGGAATAGACTCCAGCATCCCCCAGCCGCCCGAGTTGCGGTGCTGCCTGCCTAGGCCCGCACTTCCTCCTTTCTGTGCTCCTGCCGTGCCCTCTGCTCCTGTGACCAGGACAGTCACCCCAAGCTGTGGTCTGATGTTCGGTGGATACCAGCAGGGCTTGGGCCTTGGGTACTTACGCACACACAAACCTGGCACTTCCTCGGTTACCAACCCTTCCGTATCCACTTCTAGAATCCTTTCAACAGCCCTCAAAGGCAGCCTCAACTTTTTCTTTTTAAGAGAGATTTTTGCTATAGGATTCATGTGCTCGCCAGAGACAGAGAGAGATAGAGAGACACAGACCAAGAAATTACCCCCCATGAGGGGGATGGTCACGCCGCAATCCTTTCTCCATTCTCCTCTTGGGATTTTGGGCACAGCACACCGCCCTGACATGAGTTTTAAGCCACTGGGTCTGGGACTCAAACCGCAGTTGACTATGTGGGAGTCCAGCGACATAGCCATTATGCTAACTGCTGGTCCCACCAGCTGTTTCCTTATTTTTCTTCTCTCTCTGACTCCAAAAACATGTCCTGTTTTTCCTTTGCCTGTCTTGTTTTATTTTGTTATTGTTTTGAGAGAGAGGGAGGGAGGGGAGGAGAAAGAGGGTTTTTTTTCCCAAGTTTTTATTTAAAACCATGAGAGAGAGTGACATCCCTAACAAGGTCCCCACCCTGCAGGCCCCCGTCTCAGCCCACCCGGGTCACAGGCACGCTGTGTGCAGAACTGGCGTGCTCAGGAAGGCCCTGGGACATGAGCGAGGTCGTTCCAACGGTGTCTCACTATGACGTGACCTTCCGCCCTGCTCCCAGTCAGCTCGGACCACAGGGCACGCTCCTGTGTGTGGCCTAGTTAGGTTCGGCTGAGAGCCAAGCAGGCCTCTGAAGAAGCCTCAGCCACGCACAGCAGGCCCTCCTCCTGGCACCGCAGTAGAGCCCCCTTTGCTGTTGGAAAGTGAGTTGCCAGGCCGTGGCCTGGCCCCCTGGAGGCAGGTGGAAGTGGCTCATGTGGGAACAGTGGTGCCAGGAAGCAGCAGAGGGGCAGGACTGGGCAGACGGCAGCTCACCTATGGGGCAGTCTCCACGGAAGCCTGCCTGACCCAGGGCTCCAGGCGGGTAGCCTTGCAGAGGGGGGACCAGGCCCTCCACCCTGTCACCGGCCGTCAGCCACTGTCCGGCCAGGCATCTCTGCAGCCCGCGGCGGCCGGGGGCCTGGGTGGGGAGTGCCCGGCCCAGGAGCAAGGGCTTCAGCCTGCGGTGTTGGGCAGGGCCCTCTGTTACGGGCCTGGGTGGGGAGTGCCTGGCCTGGGAGCAAGGGCTTTAGCCTGCGGTGTTGGGCAGGGCCCTCTGTTACGCCCTCACTCCCGTCGCTGGCGAGGACACGTGCTCGCTCGGTGCTCAGCACGCATCTCTCCCGCTTGCTACCTAGGCCTTCTCCGGCTCGGGGAACAGACTGGACGGAAAGAAGAAAGGGGTGGAGCCCAGCCCCTCCCCCATCAAGCCTGGGGACATTAAAAGGTGCGTCCTGTGGGTCCCACCGAGTGCCCATGGCTGTTACTCTTTTTAACTTTTTTCTTTATTCATGACAAACTGTGTGCAGCACACCTGAGCGTGAGAGAGGTGAGCACCTCCACAGGGTCCATTCACACCACGGTCCCCTCCCTCCACCCAGCCTGTCGCACTGCGGGCACTCGGGCCCGTGCCCGGTCATCTCGCGGGGTCCAGCTTCTCTTGAGCAGCTGCTGCCCATGCGTCTGGCGCTCCTGCCAGGTGCTTCACGGCTGTGTGCGGAGGGTCCGTGTCAGCCCCAAGGTAGGGCGGCTGCACCCAGGTCTGGAGACAGATCTCAAGTCCACAGGATTTCGCCGGGTGGGTCAGAATCCCCACCTGCTGTCTGTGGTTGTGGGACGTGATCTCCCCCTCCCGTCATCCTCCCCCAGGACCCCCACAGCCCAGCCCCTCTCCAGCCTCCTGTCCCCGCAGGTCCTAGCACGTGCCCGATCAGATCACACCCACTCACCCTTTCTGACTCCAGTCTGGCAGTCTGCCCGTTTCCCTGTTTTGTGACTTTGCATAACCGATCAAGTCTGGACCTCAGCAACCCTAGAACAGAGGTGGAACTCTCTCAGTGGACAGTAAAGGACTCACAGGTCACTCCTCTGGTGGCGTCCTGCGGGGCGTGGGTGACGCGAGCTCTATTGCCTGTGAGGCAGGAGGATGCTGGCGCTGGTGCTCTTGCCCATTCTCTGAAGGAGTAACGGGCGAGAGAAGCCCTTTCATGAGCCTCAGGGCAGAGAGAGGCCTCTGGTTCCTGCAGACGAGCCCACACTATAGAGCCCCGGGCCCTGGAGTGGGCTGGAGCCGCAGCGTGCAGCCCTGTGCCTGTACCAGCCCGGGACTCCAGTTGCCTCCTGGTTCCCTGCTGGAAGGATGCGCTGGAGAAAGGCCAGGTGGGGACCGTAGCACGCCCCAGAAAGAGTTGTCAGCAGGACTCTTGTCTTCTCTGCGTTCTCACATATCAAAATGAATTTTGGTCCATATATACAGAGAGGAGAGTCTTACTGTCTTGTAATTACGCCAGTGGGCACGAGAGCATCTCACGGGCACCTCCTGTGTTTCAAGCTGCCAGTTCCGGCACCCAGCCTCTGGTGGGCCATGCGGGATCCAGCTCCTCCAGGCAGTTTGCTAGACACAGGGCCAGCCCAAATTTTAGTCCTCATTTGCTTGGAATTGAGAATTTTTTTCTCATCTCTCTCCTTTACAGGGGAATTCCCAATTATGAATTTAAACTTGGTAAGATCACTTTCATCAGAAATTCACGTCCACTGGTCAAAAAGGTCGAAGAGGTGAGTTGTTTCATAGGCCAGAGGTGACAGGGGTTCGCAGCATTAGGAATTAGGTGGTTTCTGTCATTTTCCGTTTCTGGTGGCCTGCTTTTTCCATAGTGCGTGTATTAAGACCACGCAACTTTGGGGTCAGGAATCCCGTCCTGCTCTGGGGCTGCCAGAGAGCCAGGTGCCCGGGGTGGGCTCATCTTCTCTGTGCTTCCTCCCGTGAGACCTTGCGCTTCCAGGCCCTGGGCCACACCTTCCAGCAGAGTGGGCTCGTCGAAGAATGAGGAAGTG